TCAACCTACACATCATGGAAAGACCAACTAAATATACACCCTGTCAGCTCTCTGGAAAATCATCTTTTGTAGTTTAACATCGATGTTCAGAGTTAGTTTGAACAAATTAAGATATTTGACAAATTCTGTTGGGTTTTTAAACATATGACCTCAACACATTGACATTCATTGGCTTTGTTTGTTCTTCATGGACGCCTTTCAACGTCCTTCGCCAACAGGCCCATAGCCTACTGTATGTGACAGACAATCTGAAAACATAATGCCTCCGTCCCCCGTATGTAATATGTATACACTAGACTAGTCACCTATTTAAGTATTTAGTAACATCAGTCAGTGAAGAAAAGACAAGTGCTCTCTCTTTAATGGTCCTTTGCACAGATATGTAAACACTTGATTTGTTAAGTTCATAGACAATAAATCAATGAAACATGGATTCATTTTGTACACGTTATCCTACATATTTACCAGAAGGCTTCTCTATCTATGAAATCCAGGCGTTGTCGGGGTGGTGTCCCCAGGCACAGATCAGGGTGTTCTGTACAGAGACACTGTTCACTTGATAAACTACGCCCTGAAGCCCTAACACAACATGTTTACTGTAGGAACCCATCGTGGGGATTTAAAAGGAGGTTTCTCTGCTAAAATACATCTTTTTTTTTTACCCAGTCCAGGTTTTCCAGTCCAGATAAGTCCTGTGTTCACATTTCAAAACATGTATTACAGAAACACAACAGCACGTGATATAAATACACATCTTATTTAAGGGAAGGTTGGAATGATCAAAGATATCGACAGTGGATGCCGGGACAAAAGAATAGTGTTGTTACGTCATTACTCTGTGGGGGAACTGGGTTTGAATGCCAGTGTGATCATGATTAGGGCTGCACGAGTATCTCAAAATCACAATATGGACATGTGCAACATTCAAATCGCAGGATGCACAATGTACGATAAAGACTAATTATGTGTTGGAATACATTTTAAATTTGGAGCTGCAGAGATATACATTTAGTTGCCAGCTTAGTGAACTGAAGTAGCCCAAAGTTTCATGTTAGAAATGTAGAGTAGGGTCTCCAGCACATAGAAACTGCCGGATGCTAACCTGCTGGGCAATTTGAAAGTTGCATTCATTGACATATTCAGACGACAGCTACAAAACTGGCTTGGCCGTTTGGGACGTTATTGAGGATCCATTTCTGACTCTTTCAGGATCAAAGGCATGATTTTGAGTCCTCTTAAACTTCTTAATGGACCCAAAATGGATCGAAATCGGCCGACAGAGAATACAAATAGGGCCTAAACTTCCATTTAAGATCCTGAAATGGTCAGAAATTGATTGAACATCTTCAATAACCTCCAAAACCACTTCAAAAGTGTCCAGATCGACCAAGCCATTTTGTAACTACTGTCTGCATATGCTATTTAATGCTAATTAACACAACTTGTGCTAATTGGGCAGATAGCCCAACATATGCAGGTTAGCTTCCGGCAGTTTCTATGAGCTGGAGACCCTACTCTACATTTCTAACATAAACATTTGGGGTCTCAACATGTCTGGGTTCACAACAGCACTCTATGAGCTGGTAAATAGACTATATCCCAGCCTACAAATCAAGTTTAACAGACGTAACAAAACATATTATTTAAGTACAGATCGTCTTAGAAAACTCACACCATGATAATCTAATGTATTTTTGAAGTATAGGATCAATCCCTCCAATATCCTCTACGGATTGAGATTGCAGTTCCAGTCCAAATACATTACTTTGTTCCAAATGGTGCAGCCCTAATCATCATGGATGCATTGAAATAATAACAATAAGATATTCCTCTCTCACACCTCTCATCGTCACTATGATCATGCATGTGGAAACTACAATAACAATGGCTGTTTACATATAAGCAAACCATAGTATGATTCCTCTTCTTGTAGAAGTGTCCGTCACAGGAAGGAAGGAAGGACATGGTCCCTGGTTGTGTTACTTTTTACTGGAAGAAAGTGGCTTTGAAATCGACAGAATCCAGCACAGAAACAAACCTCCATGATCCTTCAGCGGGCCGACGATGGTCATGTGACATCGTGCTGACCGACCTGTGGAAATCACTTCCTGTCCGTCTGATTTTCACACTTAAGGTCCAATGAAGAGCGTCTCAGAAGGTCTTATATTACAACTGTGACGGTCCAGTGTCCTGAGACAAAATATCTCTTCTCCTGTAATCTGTCCCGGGTCTTCAGCATGTTCTTCACATCAAAACAAAACAACACTTTAAGGGAGACACCTCAGGTAAGGAAGGGAGAGAGATACTAGTGTGTATTTTGGATGTTCTCTTTCCTCGAGTCGTGAAACAACAGTGTTTTCCTGTAGTGTCTCGCCTTGTGCAACATTATGAGAGTATAGCATCGATGTTTTAATGCCCACAGACCACGTCGATTCTCTGGTTGTAAACAGGACCTGGTTTATAAACCGGAGAGTTTCGTGGCTACATCCACGACCAACAGCAACCCTCTGAACGTCTGAAACTAAAATACATTCATCGTATCACATCTTTACATGCTACCTCTATGTTCACCTGCACGAAACTCACTCAGGTCAGTCTCTGGGACCAAAGAGAGGACGCCGTCGTGTCTCCACATTTTGTTCAAATACCAATCAAAACACAACGCCCTGCCTGCAGTGATCTACGTATAGTACAGTCTCTGCTGTGCTTTGGCACCGTTTCTCTATTAAGAGCACGCACGCGCACACACACACACACACACACACACACACACACACACACACACACACACACACACACACACACACACACACACACACACACACACACACACACACACACACACACACACACACACACACACACACACACACACACACACACACACACACAGTTTGTGATGCTACTGCTGCTGAGAAGTGCTGTGTCTCTACTCAGATACTCCCTTTATCTGCATTGGATTGAATTTAAATAAATTGTGGCTCTAAGAAGACACGATAGTGAGCAGATTAGACAAAGATACGGCAACAAAGTGACTTCCAATGGAACTGAATACAGTAATGGCGCATTTCCACTACAGCACGGTTTAAGCGTGCCGTGCCCGGTCCGTTTTTTGCTTGCGTTTCCACTCGGCGTAGTTCCGGCTAGCGGCTACTTTTTCACAGTTTTCTGGCTCTCCAAAATCGAGGCTCTTTCCGGGTCAACAACCGGGCTGAGTCGGGCTGAGTATGCTAAACTAGAGAGAGAATCGCTGGCAACTACAACAAGATGAACATATTTGACCGTGATTTAATTGTAATACACGTTTCTAAATGATGCCGAAGTAACAACATACTGATACCGGTTAGTAAAAACCATGAATTAATGCTTTGACAAGTCTGCAGACAGACGGCAGGCGAAACACCTTTTAAATGTGTGTTTTCTGAATGGAGATCGGCTAAGCTAACGCAGTATATGCTCCGACCGTCCACACTCACAACAACGGCCTACAGACAGAAATAAACCAGCGACTGTATTCTCCATGACACAGACAGTCTGTGGTTTGGACTTGTTTAACTTCTGTCTAGTTTCTGAACAGATATGAGGAGCTGTGAGCTCTGAGGGCTAAGAGCTAACGGCTAACGGCTGATGTTGGTTTTTGTGATTCTCATTGAAGATGACGTCCCGGCTCCGCCTACACTGCGTTACTATAGTTACTGCCCCAGCTACTAAACTGTAATGGAAACGCAGCATAAAGTGAGCCTGGCCTACCAAGGCCTAACTATACCGTACTAAGCCGAGCGAGGCCCTGCAGTGGAAATGCGTCATTAAACTTATATGTGGTAAATATAACTTTTTTACCTATTCAGTAAATTGAAATCTTAAAGTATAAGTTAATGCAAGTTAATTTCATACAGGTATTCACTAAATCATTTAAATTAATATCTCCTATAGATAATTATTTAATCCAATTTCACCACATATTTAGTAATCTAACTTACGTTGTAAATAAATACAGAATTAAATCACTAAATCCAACATAATTTAACTTTCTTTGAAAAACATTGACTAACTTTAAACAATGTATTCAATACTTGTTTAATCAAATTGTTGAACTAATTAATTATATTGGGTGTCACTTTGTTGCCAGATTTTTTTAAGTAACCAATGGTCACATTTTTACGGTTTAGTTCACTGCATCTCGTGCACTTTGAACACGTATGCAGTGTGTGCATTTTGACTTTCAAATCACACACACTGGCCGTTTCTCAATGTCGAGTATACCTGCTGCAGAGCCGCTATTTCAAGTATACTACGTCATCGAGTGGCGCCGAAGAACTGTTTAAATGCCCGGCATTCGGCGCCACTCGATGACGTAGTATACTTGAAATAGTGGCTCTGCAGCAGGTGTACTCGACATTGAGAAACGGCCACTGTGTCCTAACAGGAAGCGACAACCGTTGCTATCAGCTAGCATTGTTAGCGGTACTCAATCTGATGCAGAGGGCTGAATTAACACTATGAGCTTAATGGTGTGTTTCTTAAATACTAAACAAAACCCCCACATGAATAACTCGTATATTTATAGTGTTATATGTTTTCTGCAGAAACTGTTCGCTTCACTTCAGCAACAACACAGCGGCCATTGAGTGTGAGAAGTGTCCAGCGTTCAACACTTAACTTTTGGACCGTTCTGAAAGCACCATCCAGGCAGTCATTTCGCCAAAACTTAGCATTTAAACGCACTTCAAATGCAATCCAAACAGCAGGAAGTACGCAGTTTGAGACACAGGACAGATCTCAGAGGTCCTGGTGCCTCATGGAGTCGCTTCCTCTTCCTCGTTCCTCGTTCCTCTTGTGCCTCGTGGAGTTTTTTTAGTAGCGGTCGCCATTGGAACGCACTTAAGCAATCAGAACAGCAGAAGTAAATACAGAAGTACGCAATTTGAGACACAACACAGATCTCAGAAGTCCTTGTGCCTCGTGGAGATATTTTCCGAGTCGCCTCCTCTTCTGTTTTTTTAGCAGCGGTCGTCCTCGTCCGTGTCGCTCAGCAGCTCATTGGCTCCTGAAGGACTCGCCTGGCCCAAAGTCTTCGTGCGGATGTGTCCGTTGGGAACCTGCCAGGAGTGTCTGAGCTGGGGGGCGGAGCTTATGGCGTTGGCTCGTCCCAAACTGGTGGCCACGGCCGTCTCAAAAGTGAGAGTTTCCTCCCCGTCAGCTCCCTCCATGACGTCATCGTGGAACGGCAAGAAGGGCTCTGAGATGTAGCGTTGAGGCGAGGGGTGGCTTTGACCTCCAGATGACCCCTGACCTCCAGACGACCCCTGACCTCCAGACGACCCCTGACCTCCAGACGACCCCTGACCTCCAGATGACCCCTGACCTCCAGACGACCCCTGACCTCCAGATGACCCCTGACCTCCAGACGACCCCTGACCTCCAGAGGACCCCTGAACTGGAGGAAGGGGGCTGGTTTCTTTCTCCGGTTTCAATTTGGAGGCTCCAGATCCATCCTGAGGCGGGGAATCAAGATTCAAGGCTTTTATTGTGATTTTGCACAAAATGAATTAACACAATATCTGTTTTCTTTTTTTATTACTGCCACATTTTATTTCTATGTAAATACTGCTATATTTTACTATATATTTTATTATTTTAAATATTTTGTAATGTTATTATAGTTTTCTTAAAATACTTATCTATCTGTGTTTTTAATAAAAGTTCAGGTGTTTAACAGTAGAGGAGGTCGTAAGATAAGATAAGATTGTTGTGCCAGAGTTACAAAAATACCGAAAAGATGTACCTCGAGGGAGGAGGACGATTCTGCTAAAACTGGGACGGTGGATGTTTGGGAGACCAGAGGAGAGTAGGAGATGTAGGGTCGAGGGCGAGAGGGAGTCTGAGGAAGCTGGCGACGATTTCGAGGCGTCCCGGAGTCAGAGTGGGCGGGGCTTACAGACGAGTTCACCTGCAAACAACACACACAGGGACGTTCAGTTCGAATGAGCTAAACCAGGGATGTGATTCAAAGTCAATCGAGTCAGAATTCTGTGAAAAAGTAAAAGTTCTGAGAAATGTCTGAAAAAAAGTCAAGATTCTAAGAAAAAGTCAAAATTCTTAGAAAAAGTCTAAATTCTTAGAAAAAAATCAAATTTCTGGCGAGTTCAGTAAATGTATCCTTTCACACCAAAACAAATAAAATAAAACTCACTATCTGAACTACTAAGAATGGGACAAAGCGAAACACAGGGATGGCAACAACCCACTAACCTAGTGTGTGTCTAACCTCCTACCTGTCTCTGTAAGGTGTGAGTCCGTCCTTCGCTCGGGGATCTGGAGCGCCTCCTCTCACAGGAAGTGTCTCTGCTTCGCTCCTCAGAGTTACATCTGGAAACGTCTGGAGACAGCAGGTGGCGCCGCTCCTTAGATCGCCCTCGCTCGTGACTGCTGGTTTCTCTGGGGTTGTTTTTAGGACCTGAGAGGCGTTTAACGGAAATAAAACCATCTGAGATCTGTGGCAAACAAACGTTTATGATACTTACACGTTTAGTTCAGCAGGATAATATCCACCTATTAACACCACTTTAGGATTTCGGAGTAAAATGCTAAATATAGGATATAAAAGTCACATGACTTCGTATCGCCACCGCTAAGCTAAAGGTGGCTAAAGTTGGGCTATAAAGGAACTACAGCACGGTCACATGACTTCACGTGACCACCGCTAAGCTAAAGGAGGCTAATGTTGGGCTATAAAGGAACTACAGCACGGTCACATGACTTCACGTCACCACCGCTAAGCTAAAGGAGGCTAATGTTGGGCTATAAAGGAACTACAGCACGGTCACATGACTTCACGTCACCACCGCTAAGCTAAAGGAGGCTAATGTTGGGCTATAAAGGAACTACAGCACGGTCACATGACTTCACGTCACCACCGCTAAGCTAAAGGAGGCTAATGTTGGGCTATAAAGGAACTACAGCACGGTCACATGACTTCACGTCACCACCGCTAAGCTAAAGGAGGCTAATGTTGGGCGTGATGACGTTCAGTCGCCTCATTTAGACACTTGTTAGCAACCTGCGTTTTTAAATCCACCAGTGGGGTATTTATGTCGCAGAACAAAACGTTAAAATCTCTTCAGCTTGTGTTAACCACAGACCTTATTTTAGGATAAAACACATTCTGAAAACCATTCAGGAGGGAACAGGAAGTGCCAAAACGCTGCCTCATTTCCAGGTTTTAGGACTCATTCCTGCACCACTTTATGCTTAAGTGACTAAAGGAGTCGTGGTGCGTTCACTGACCTCTGTAGCTCTTCTGTCGTGGTCGGTACTCGCCGTCCGGACTGATTCTCTCCAGAGAGTGCTGCTCCTGCCAGAGGCCGTTCACACACTGATCCCCGATAGTGGAGAAGGAGCGCTTCATCAGCTTACTGTCTGCAGACATCCCAGCCTACAGAGATGGCAAAGTGACACATCCTTTACTCAAGTAGAAGTACACACATCCTTTACTCAAGTAGAAGTACACACATCCTTTACTCAAGTAGAAGTACACACATCCTTTACTAAGTAGAAGTACACACATCCTTTACTCAAGTAGAAGTACACACATCCTTTACTCAAGTAGAAGTACACACATCCTTTACTCAAGTAGAAGTACAGATACTCGTGTTTAAAAATACTCTGGTGAAAGTAGAAGTACAGACTAAACTTCTTTACTCAAGTGAAAGTAAAGAGGCTTTGAAATGTACTTCAGTAAAAAGTACCCATAACTAGCAGCTGTTTTAAAGAGTACCTGACCTCCCTTTATATTAATAGAACAATAATGTCATTGTTAGCTAATGAATGTTTCCATGCTGAACAACGGCAACATGACAACGTTTCCATTGGTCCCTCTTCTTTAGAGAAGACCAGGAAATGATAGATACACGGATCGTGTTCAAATCAATAGGCACGCAATGACTCTAAATAATAATGATCACGCCACCAAACACACATTCAGACTAAAGGAACCAGCCTGTTTGGAAAATGAGAGAAGTAGAAAGTACAGGTATTTGAGTTCAACATGTAAGAAGTAGAAAGTACAGGTATTTGAGTTCAACATGTAAGAAGTAGAAAGTACAGGTATTTGAGTTCAACATGTAAGAAGTAGAAAGTACA